TTTGGGGTCTGTCCCACCTGGGCCAAAGCAGCCAAGGCCAGGCCAGAGCCACAGTCACAAGCTCACACTGGGCACTGAGCATCAGTCCTGGACCCCCTCCCTGTGCTGGCTGATCCCATGTCATCACTCTGACAAATAGCCATGTCCTGGGTGGGCACCACTGCACCAGACTGTGCTCTTTGGATCTCAAAGTAATTTAGAAAAGGAAAAGTCATTATTGCTCTCTACTTTGCAAGGTGAGCTCTGGGTGGGTGGCACGAGCCCGGCAGCGAGCCTGGGGCTGGGCTTGTTGCATTCGAGGACCAGGTGTCTGCTGTCACCTAAATAAACCCCTCTGGGTCAGCCCAGGACTTGGGGCTGGTCTCGTGTCCTCCCGTGGCCTTTCAGAGCATCTCCCTGCCGTCACGGTGCTGCTCCCTCCAGCCAGGCTGCCCTCTTACGTTGTCTCGTGTTTGCAATCTCTTGTGGCTCTCATCGAACTCCTGAGCCAAATTTTGTGTTGCTGGAGGCCGACTCCTTCCTCTGTGATTCACGATCCCCACTCTGAGGCTTTACATTCACAGAGCATCTGGTGATGCTCCAGTGAGAGGATTTGTCCAACCGGTGCAGCGCTGGGGTTGCGGGATGAGCGCAGGGCCGTTCGGTCACCTCTTGGCAGCGCAGCTCCTGCCAACACCAAACCTCCTTCAGCTCCTCTCTGGAGCTGTGGCTGTTGCCCTGTGTCCCCTACATCTGCAGGGACACCACTGGCACATGGAGGTGGGCACATGGAGATGCTGCCCTCTTCACACACAGCTGCTGGGGTGAGAAGGTTCAAAAGAGGAGAAACTGTGGGTGCTGGCCTTGAGTACTGCATTTAGCTCTGGGGGCCCCGACACAGCAGGGATGTGGAGCTGCTCAAGTGAGTCCAGAGGAGGCCCCGGAGCTGCTGCGAGGGCTGGAGCAGCTCTGCTCTGGAGCCAGGCTGAGAGAGCTGGGCTGGGGCAGCTGGAGAAGAGAAGGCTCCTGAAGGGAAGACCTTAGAGCAGCTCCAGTGCCTAAAGGGGCTCCAGGAAACCTGGAGAGGGACTTTGGACAAGGGATGGAGGGACAGGACAAGGGGAATGGCTTTAACCTGCCCGAGGGGAGATTGAGATGAGCTCTGAGGCAGAAGCTCTTCCCTGTGAGGGTGCTGAGGCGCTGGCACAGGGTGCCCAGAGACGCTGTGGCTGCCCCATCCCTGGCAGTGTTCAAGGCCAGGTTGGACACAGGGGCTTGGAGCAACCTGCTCTAGTGGAAGGTGTCCCTGCCCGGGGCAGGGGTTGGAGCTGGAGCAGCTTTAAGGTCCCTTCAACCCAACCATTCTATGGTTCTGTGATGTGGTTGCAGGGAAGGCAGCAGCGAGGGGCTGTGCTCCAGCAAGTCCTGCAAGTGCGCTGCGCGGCTTCTCGCTCAAGAGGCAGAGCCGGGACCGGCGGCTTCAGCAGCGCTGGCAAACGCCTCGGATTGCAAACCATCGTTTCAGAATGCACCAGCTTGCAGCCAGGAGCTGGCGATTGCCAAGAAGTGTTCGTCATGTGGAGACACGAATTACATCACGAGGAGCTCCTCTGAACATGAGTTTATTAGAATGAGCTGCCCCCGGAGCGTGGTGCAGCCGGTTGTGTCTGGGGGGTTCTGGCAGTTGGCCTGGTCCTGGAGCTGCTCGTGCCTGTGAAGATCTCCTTGGACTGCTCTGAGTCCCATCCTGCCTTGTCCAAGGAGATGCTGGGACCAGGTTAGACCCAGGCTCAGGGTTCCCAGCAGAGTTTGGAGCTCCCGGGCTTCTGGTTTTGTGGAAAGTTCAGCCCCTGGATGCTCACAGGGCTCACCCCATCCCCTTGGTGTCCTGCGATGCGATGGCCTTCCATCAGC